CAAAATAATAATTTATGAATTATGAAGGGTTCATGAGGGAGGGGGGAGGGGGGATGGAGGGAGAAAAATGAGGAGCCGATATTAAGGGCTCAAGTAGAAAGCAGATATTTTCAGAATGATGAGGGCAGCAAATGTACATATGTGCTTGACACAATGGATATATGTATGGATTGTGATAAGAATTGTAAGAGCCCCCAATAAAATGATTTTTTTAAAGTTGTTCCAATTTGTTAGTTTTGTGCTTTATTGTGTTTTGTTGTTTTTATTTCTCCCTACTTCAGATCAGCTTCATTGTGCCCCCTCAACCAAACCACCCCCATCCCGCAACACCCCACCCTCCCCACCCAGGTTCAGGACACCCATTCTTAGAATTCTGGCTCACAGTTCTGTAGGAATCATCCTTGGAAATTCTAATAAGGAGAACTTCCTCCATCAGGATAGTAATTGATACTAACAGCAATTCATATTAAGGCAGGGTTTCCTTCACTGTCAACATGAAACTCCTTCTACTTTCAGAGCTATTTGTATAAACAAGGTTTCTCTGAGTCTGTTTTCATGAGAATAAAATTTAGAATAACTGAATCTTGGACACAACAATTTAATGGATGGTTATTGTCGAGTGAGCAAAGAGGAAATCTGACTACAGCACTAATGTCAACTACCAGGGCCAGCTTTGTGGACAAACATCCATGCAATTCATTGCATGAGCTCTGCTTTTAGCAGTTTCCTGTACTTCCTTTAATGCTCTTTACCATCATTATGCAATACTAATCATTTTAGGTCTGAACTTTTGTTTTCTAGTGACATCTGTGAAACATGCTCATGTCTGCTTCCATTCCTTATCCCTCCCCATGCTCTCAGTACAGAAATTGGGTAGACTTAAAATACATCAGGGTTCAAGGAAACCCACAGAAAACAAGAAGAGGAAGAATGGAGAGGAACAGTATGAGAAAAGAGTATAAAATATAAGCAAGCAGATTAGATGTTTGCTTCTGTCTTTTTCCCCCCACTTATTTTTAGAAGTCACTGAGGATTTCTTCTCTCCTTCTCCCTCCTTTTTAAACACTCCTACTACTCTCTTTCCCTCTATTAAAATGCAAACCACAAATCAAATCCCTTGAGGAAATCCCCCTGGGTTTTCATACCAGAAAGTCGGAGAGAGAGTCATCAATAAATAAATACCCTCCCCTATGAAGTCTCTAACAGAGGAGACTGGAACCCACAAAGACACACATGCTTACTATCGCATAAAACCAAGCATCAGACATTTCACCCACATCAGACATTCCACCCAAATCACACATTCAAAGCTAACACCATCTTCCTCCTGCATGTCCTGCCCACACAAACCTGCACAGAAAGGTACTTTTCACCTACCTAAACACGTTTTAATTCAGAAACATTTACATAAGCCACCACTGCAGTGCACTCTGCCCACACAGCCTTGTGCCCATATATTACATAGCCTCAGAGCCATACACTACACAGCCTCACACACTGCAGATCGCGATCGCTCAACCTGCAAACACATGCCTGCCATCCGGGTAAGTCCTTGTAATCAAATCTCCTCATAACTATGTGTAATAAAATAGCCTCAAAGCTGTATCATCAAGACCTAGGTCCACAGGGGTGCCTCGTTCACATGATGACCATGACCGTGACCCAGAGATAAGAAATGTTAGGGGGGTCCCCATTGCAGATAAGATCAACACTCCATCTTAATGATCCTTTCCCATTGTTTTCCTGGAAACCAACCCACTTTTTACTTAAAAGCATTCATTGAAATAAAGAAACAGACTAATAAGTGAGGAGACTAGATAATTGTAGTGACTTCAGCTCCTCTTTGCTGCCATACAAATATTTTCTCTAGTATCAGAGGCCAGTGTTCAGACTGAGCCCCAGCGTGTCTAGTGCCATCAGCACAAGTCTCTGCACACATGGGTGGGATGCCTTGCTTCACACTGACTCTGAAGTTTAGAAGAGAGTCAAGTGATGGCAGTGTTGGAGTCTGATGGTAGAAAGAATACCGGGCTTGAGCGACATGGAAATTTAAAACTGACCACATCAAAATAGAAGGTCTGGGAGGAGGAATTAACCATCTACTTTCAGATAACGAGTGTGGAAGCATGGGGAAGAACTTCAATTGAATATCCAAACTGTGGATCCCATACACTTATCGTTGCCTAAACACAAAACATTTTGAGGTAAGTAACCTGGTGTGTTACTATTGTTTCTAAAAGGTCCATCCAAAAGTGAGACAGTCGTGAAAAGTGAAAGGATTTGTTCAAGGTCACACAACAATCTCCTGACAGATCACAGCTAAAACTGAGATTTCCTGGCTCCATACCCAGGATTCATTTATACACTTGGTATTAACACTCTTGCTAGTTGGAAATGAGTCTGTTTCAACTCAGGAAAACTCGAGTTGCAGGATGGAACTGCTTCAAAGTTGTGACCTTTCAGAAGCAGAGGGTCAGGCCTTCCTCCTGAAGCACTTCTGAGTGTGTTCAACCTGCTAGTCTTCCAGCACTTCACCCAGGGACGCCAGTGTTACTTAGAGTGTGTAATAATATGCATTCCCTCAACAAAGCATGCTCGCTGTTAAGAATTTCATTTTTTGTTAGCAAGTCCCAAAATATCAAGATCAGTTTGAATCATCATTTGGCACACTGGATGTCACACCCGCCATTACAGTGGTGCATTAGCAAGGTTGTGGGGGCTTTTGTTGTCACTGAAACTACTGCCTCTTGTATTGTTTTATTGTTTCCTTGTTAGTGTGCATAAATATTCACTAATGGGATATGTGAAGTGTCCAAGATGTTTCTAGCACTTCCGGTACGGTGTAAGAAGAAACTAGTTGATGTAAAAGAGGGATTCAAAAAGTTTGTGGAAAGATAAACAAGCAATGGGATATTCCATGAACTTTTCCCACATATAAGTGGTCATTTGAGACACAAGAAGATAAAAGAGAGTTAAGGCATCATTTAAGCATTAAATCAGAATGACAATAGTATGTTGTTATAACTGTCCAACTGATTTTAACGACCACTGATCACAATATCTAGGTACCCTTGTGGACAGTGTGGAAATCACAGTTACATGAAGACATTCCCAGTTAAAAGGGATCTTAGGAATGTAGAGGGGGGCAGGAGAGTAAATCGAAAAGAGCAGCTTTGCAAAGTAAGACTTTGGGAAGCAGTTCAGCTTTCCAGGGAACTTAAATAATGGAATGAAAGTAGAATTAGGAAAACAGAATTAAGAAAAGTGGCATGAACTGAAGAACAAGGAAAGGAAATGGTTGTAGATGTGTGGGGACCAGAAGCTGGTAAATCATGTGTACCTTATTGCTGGGGGGAATTGTGGAATGGTCAGAGCCAGGAAATACTTTACATGCTTAGCTTGATGTTTGGGGACCCAGAATTTAAAACATGACTGGGTAAGAAAGGGCAGGTGGAAAATAATTACATAGAATAGTCTTTTGGGATTATTGAAAAATTAACACTTTTCCTGATAGTCTGAGAAGATTGCTTGCAGGGAAATCATCATTTGATGCCCGCACTTGCTGTTGCAGGGCAGGCTCACCCCCACGGCTTGGACAGACCCTCCTTTCGTCACCAAGGATGGCAGCTTCCAACATCAGTGGTAACAGTCTCCCAGGCACTTTCTTCCTGACAGGGATCCCAGGACTGGAGGCCAGTCATACCTGGATAGCCATTCCCTTTTGTGCCATGTACCTGGTGGCACTGGCTGGAAATGCTCTCCTTATTCTTGTCATTGGGATGGACAAGGCTCTTCATGAACCCATGTACCTTTTCCTTTGTCTTCTCTCACTCACGGACCTGGCCCTCAGTTCAACCACCACGCCCAAGACACTAACCATTTTGTGGCTCCAGGATGGTGAGATTTCCTTTGCTGCCTGCTTAGCCCAGATGTTTTGTGTCCACGCCATCTATGCGCTGGAGTCCTCAGTTCTTCTTGCCATGGCCTTTGATCGATATGTGGCTATCTGCCAGCCTCTGAGGTACAGCACCATTCTCAACCACAGTGTCATAGGCAGAATCACATGTGCTGGGATTTTCCGTAGTATAACCATTGTTTCCCCCTTCATCTTCTTGCTAAAGCGACTGCCCTACTGTGGGCATCGGGTCATGGCACATACATACTGTGAGCACATGGGTATTGCTCGCTTGGCCTGTGCCAACATCACTGTCAATGTTATTTATGGGCTGACTGTAGCCCTATTGGCCATGGGATTGGATTCCATCCTCATTGCCATCTCCTATGTCTTTATCCTCCAAGCAGTCTTCCGTCTGCCATCTCGTGAAGCCCGGCACAAAGCTCTGAGTACCTGTGGCTCCCACCTTGCAGTTATCCTAGTTTTCTACATCCCTGCCTTCTTCTCCTTCCTTACTCACCGCTTTGGCCACAACCGTGTCCCCAAGAGTGTGCACATATTTCTGGCCAATCTCTATGTGCTGGTGCCTCCTGTGCTCAACCCAATCATCTATGGGGCCAGAACCAAGGAGATTAAAAGTCGACTTCTCAGACTGCTTCAACTGAAGAAGGACTCAGTATGAGTTCTGAGCGCAGATTGAACACAAGAAAGACCATCGGATGGGCAGGACCATTGTCCAGATGCACTTATATGAACGAAAATGTGCGGCGGACATGAAAGCATGTAGAGAGCTTAGGAAGAACCAGAACAAACCACGGGAATTGGAAACACTGATGGTCACAGTGAATGTTCATGATCCTGTCTCCTTGAGCAACTCTGAAATTGCCAGGAAATAACTCACATTTTTTTTATTGTCTCAGAAAAGCTCTGATTTACCAAAGAGGAAGGCTGTCATTGGTCTGAAATAGACACTGTGATGCATGGAGTTCAAGTTCGGAAGGAAAAAAAAAAAGCTCATGGAGTGAATTTGTCTGACCCTCATCATTTTGAGTACCGATATAAGCAAAGCATCTAAAATCTATTGCCTGATTTTGAGCCCTGACTGGTCCACCTACTCATTCTGTGACCTTAACAAATCTTAATTAGCAAGAGTTTCTGTGCAGCAGTTTAACTACCTGTATCATGAGGATAACAGTAATATCAACTCTTTAGGTTATGATGAGTTAAATAAATGAATAAATATAGAAAATTTGGGCTAATAACGGGCCTGTTTTAGTTCAACATGTATTTGTAAAATGAGCCACTTAACTTCTCCAAGCTTTTTTAGTCCAGTTACTGTATTTACTAATAGTTCTCTATATATTTCTATGGAGGCCTGCTGGTATAGTGGTTACATGTCGGGCTGGTAACACCGAGGTAAGAAGCTTGGAACCACCAGCTGCTCCACAAGAGAAAGATGGGGCTTTCTGACCCTGTAAACAGTTACAGTCTCAGAAACTCACAGGGGCAGTTCTACCCTGTCCTATAGGGCCACTATCAGTCTGAGTCAACTCTATGGCAGTGAGACTTTAATATATTGGTACATATATATTGTGGTAACTATATTATAAATGACTTTATAATAGCAAGACAGTTCTTGGGATATAATAGTGCTAAACAACAATATTTCATATCTCATTATTCCTCTAATCCTCTGATATTGAGGTCCTTTCTGTTTAACCATAAAGGTATTTATTATTGAGGATGAAGGAAATCCTGCTACAAGTCACAATGCGGTTCTTCAGGCTGTAATAATATTAATCCTTCTATCTAATAATAGTCTACAGACTGTCCTCACAACTACTCAAAAAGCTGTTGGTATGTGCTGTGGAGTTGAGTTCAGATCAAAGCCACCCTGTGATAACAGAATGAAACACCATTCAGTCTTGTGCCATCCTCTCAATTTTAGCTGATTTGAAGTTATTGTTGCAGAATATCTTGTCAAGGTACTGGTGCCTCATGATAAAATGTCCAAAGTACATGAGATAAAGCTTGAACACCCTAGCTTGCAAGAAACCTTAGGACCATACTTTGTCTAAGAAAGATTTCTTCAGTCTTCTGGCAGTCCATATTCAATATTTATTGCCAGCCCCATATTTCTAATGAGGTCTTCTGTGGTGGTTGGATTATATGCCACTTCATTATACCTATGTGGAGGTGGGGTGAGGCCCACCTGTCAATCAGGTGGTATACTGATTATGTCTCCATGGGGGTGTGGCCTTTAATAAAAGAGACAGTGAGACCTTGTCTCTGACCCTTCTCCTTTCTCCTTGCTTGGATTCTCTATTTGCCTCCATGGGTGGCCCCATGTGGGCTGAGACCCCGGGAGTTGTTAGAGTCCTGCCACCCTACCTTGGATCCACATGTCTCTTCACCCACCACCCTGTGATCTCCCTCCTTTCTGCTTCACCTTTCTGTTTCATCAGCCTGTAGCTAAGTGAGTCTGACAAGGGCTCTGGCTAGCCTCAGACCCATATAGACTGGGCTTGGATGACTTTGGGATATAAAAGTATTTCTAATATAAACTTATTTCTTATCCATTGATGAGTGTCACTGTATTTGTTTCAACAGATAACTCAACCTAAGACATCATTTTAATTCATTATCCAGTGTGTGAGACTGGGTTGACTAGAGAAAACAATTCGTTGACACTCATCATGTATAAGAGAGAGTTTTATATCAAAAAGCAGTTGTATATTGAGAAAACATCCCAGCCCAGTCCGGATCATGTCCACTATTAGCCCATATGCCTGTTACTAGTCCATAAATTCCTCTTTAGACTCATGCAGCACATACAATGATGCTGAATGCAGGAAGATCACAGGCCAGTAGGTGGAAAGGCTTGTGGATCCAATGGCAGTGGAAGCATCTCCAGGGCACTGGCTGCCATCAGCGTGACTCCATGTGGTTTGTCACCTGGAATGTGAAGCAGAGAGAGAGAGCATGGCCCACCTCTTCTGATGGCAGAATCCAGAGAGAGGAAATTTCAGAATCTTCATGAGAAGACCATGCCCACAGGGAGGCATCATCAGGCTGTGAACTGATTGACAGGCTAGATGCTACCCCTTCATTCTTTTATCAAGTTAACATGAAATTGTGTTACTACCACATCCAGCTTTCACATGCATATGAAGTGATTGAAAATATTGGGCTTTGAATGAGGAAATCCTTAGTCCCCAAAGTGCTATCTCTGTCTTTTAACACTTTACAGTATCCTTTTTTCAGCAGCTATAAAATATATTTTAATGAGCAGCCTGTGATTGAAAGATTAAGTGTCCTAAGATTAATACATTTTTATGGCTGTCTCAAGATTTTTCTTGTAATTTATGATTGAAAGAACATGAAATCTGTATTTGGATAAATTTGGAGTTAAATCTTGGATTCTTTATACTTCATGCATTAGAGCAGTGGTTCTCAACCTCCCTAATACCGCAACACTTTAATACAGTTCATGTTGTGGTGACTCCTCAACCATAAAATTATTTTTGCTGCTACTTCATAACTGTAATTTTACTATTGTTATGAATCGAGCAACCCTTATGAAAGGGTTGTTCGACCCCCAAAGGGGTCGCAACCCAAAGATTCAGAGTCGCTGCATTAGGGCATTTATGCAAACTCTCCTTGTCTCAGTGATGTGTTTATTACAGAGTCTGACACAAAGTACTCAACAAGAATGTTTAGTAGTTGGTAATATTTTAGCTTGTCTTGTGTTAGTTGTCATTGATTTGGCTCCCACCCATGGCAAACTTACCTATAACAGAGCAAAACACTGTTCAGTCCAGTGACATACCAGGTAAGCCTTCGGTATTTTAGTCAATTATCCTTCAAGTGACCAAACGCATAATATTTTTGTAATATTTACATGTGATTTTTGTGTTAGTCTGCAATTACTAGAGAAACAAATCCAGAGACACTTGTGTGTATGAGAGAGTTTTATATCAAAGAGTAACTGTATAATAAGAAAACATCCCACCCCAGTCCAGATCAAATCCGTAACTCTGATATTCGCCCATATGTCCAATACTAGTCTATAAATTCCCCTTCAGACTCACAGAACACATGCAATGATGCTGAATGAAGGATTATCACAGGCTTGTGGGTGAAAAGCCTTGTGGATCTAATAGTGGTGGGAGCATCTCCAGGGCTCTGGCTGCCATCAGCATGGCTCCATGTGGCTTGTCAACATTGAAAGGTGAAGCAGAGTGTGTGTGTGAGTGTGTGTGTGTGTGTGTGTGTGTGTGTGTGTGTGTCCCGCCTCCAGAGAGAAAGACAGGAGTTCCCTGAATCCTCAGGAGAAGGCCATGCCCATACAGAGGCATCATTGGTTATGACCTGATTGACAGGGTAGACTCCACCCCTTTGCTCAAGTTGACTGGGGATTACGTAACTGGCACAATTGTAAATAATTTACAAAGTTTGTTTTGTTATTGTCTTTCTAAGACTTTATTACAGAAGGCACATGTCTATGTCTTACCCATAGTTATACTATTGTTGGCATTCAATAAATATTATCAGTCAAATATGGACGATCCTGGTTTGTAGTATGAAGTGAAATATCTTCTCTTAAACTAATGAATAAATGATACCTTCATAGTGTTGTTGAGGGAATTAATGTGTTCAACTCAACAACAAAATTAGAGGAACGGGTGTCATAATATCCATGATTGACACAAGAGTAGTTTCATTTTTGGCCATTCGGCAGATCCAAATAGAGCTGAATATTGAATGCCACATGTAGGAAACTCTCCTGGGCCAGAGACAGTTAAGTCTATGTCTTCAGAAGAGCTCAGAGAACGTCCAATGGGTACAACAGAGGAATTAGAAGACAAAGAAGAAAAGGGCAAACAAGCTAAAAGACATCAACAAAGAGGATTACTAAGAGAATATAGGAAGACAGGTTAAATAATGTGATAGGTTTTGTGTACACTTGACTGGGAAGATTTTCTAAGTGATTTGTCACTTAAGGCCTAGCATTCCCCCATGATATAACCACGCACAAGGTCACCGGCTGCATAATAGGATCTACTGTTAACAGCCAAGCAGTCATAAGATTAGAATCTTCTTACACACACCAAAGTGGGACCTTCTGTAAACATGATGACTTAGGCAGACTATATAATCTCTCTTCAACCAAGATGGGATAGAACAGATCGAGAGGGAAAACCTGGAGTCCTGAATCAATGAAGGAGGAAAAGAAAATCTAATTGAAATGAACACCAATAGTACGGTGGGGGGGGGGTGCTATTATAGGTAGGACTGAAGCATCCCCATTTTACCCTAATCTGATATCCAGAGAAGTTTGGGGCCCACATTCTTGTGGCTGGCAGCAGCTGCAAGACCCTTCTTGGTATGGGTGGAGACTACCAATACCCTGGACCCAAATGAGCCAACCTGGAATTTCAAACGTGATGTAGAAACCAGGATGTACAAATCGATCCAGAGTTCTGCTGCTATGTGTCCAAAAAGCTGAATCTTGCTACATTTTAAAGCAATGGAGTAGCCAATGTTTAAGGTCGTGTGTTATTTAGCTCTGGGCCCAAACAAACCACCTTAAAGCCACTTTTAAAACTAGCAGAGCAGGTAGGGAACACACCTTGGTGGTCTCTGCATCTGTAAGCCAAAATGAACTGCCTAAGAAGTACTTTTTAGAGATTTTTTTTAAAAGATCATTTTATTGAGGGATATTAAAGCTCTTGTAACAATTCATACATTGGTTGTATAAATAACATTTTTGCATATGCTGCCATCATCATTTTCAAAGCATTTTCTACTTGATTTTGGTATCAGTTCCTCTTTTTTCCCTCCTTCCTCTACCCTCCCACCCTCTAGAAATCCTGATAAATTATTAATCATTATCATTTTCATATCTTACACCATCTTCAACCATGTTTCTGTTGTTTTTCCACCTGGGAAGAAGGGGTTTGTAGGTTGATCATTGTGATCAGTGCCCTCTTTATCCCCTTTCTGTCCCCACCTTCCCCCTACCCTCACGTTAACATTAGTCCTATTACAGCTCCTGAGGGGTTTATCTGTCCTGATTCCATGTGTCGAGTTCTTATATGTACCAATGTATATGCCTTGGTCTAGCCAGATTTTTAAGGTAGAACCAGGTTATGACAGTGGTGGTTTTGGGGTTGGAGGAAGCATTAGAAAACTAGAGAAATGTTGTGTGTTTGTCAGTACTACACTGCACCTGGGTTGACTCGTCCTTCCTTGTGACCCTTCTGAGGGGATCCCCAATTGTCTGCAGATGAGCTTTGGATTTCCACTCTGACCCTCCTCATTCAAATCAAGATGATTGTTTGTTTTGGACTTCTGATGCCTGATACCTTTAAACCAGCAGAGCATAGGGGCACATGTATTATCTGGCTGCACATCTGTGGTGCATATGAGAGTGGGCCCTTGATAAGCACATGCTGATGACTGCAAAAGAGGAAGAAACTGATGGCTCTGGCATGGGTCTTCTTTATTTCTATTTTTATCTATTTACTTACTATTATTATTATTATTATTTTCTTTTTTCGTGTTTCTTTAAACTGCATTTTTTGTTTGTTTGCATGTTTGTTGGCTTGGTTGTTTGCTTGTTTTTTGCTTTTGCATATTGTGTCTTTTAAAATAAATCAGTGATCCAAATCGGTGGTGAGGATGGTGTAGGAGTCCTGGTAGGGCATGACCAAGGGTAATGTAACCTAGATGAATTACTGAAACCCAAATGAAGACTGAGCACAATAGTGGGACAATAGGAAAGTCAAAGGAAATAGAGGAAATAGAGGTAGGAGGTAAACGGCATTATAGAGCTCTAAATAAAGGCATGTACATATGCAAATATATTTATATGTGAGGATGGGGAAATAGATCTATGTGCATATATCTATGTGCAAGGTTTAGTATTAAGGTAGCAGAAGGACATTGGGCATCCACTCAAGTACTCTCTCAATGCAAGAATACTTTCTTCTATTAAATTGGCATTCTTTGATGCTCACCTTCCCGACACAACCACTGAAGACAAAGCGGGTGAATAAGCAAAGGTGGTGAAGAAAGCTGATGGTGCCCAGCTATCAAAAGATATAGCGTCTGGTGTCTTAAAGGCTTGAAGGTAAACAAGTGGCCATCTAGCTCAGAAGCAACAAAGCCCACATGGAAGAAGCACATCAGCCTGTGTGATCACGAGGTGTCAAGGGATCAGGTACCAGGCATCATCAGAACAAAAAATCATATCATAGTGAATGAGGCGGGGAGTGCGGAGTGGAGACCCAAAGCCCATTTGTAGGCCACTGGACACCCCCATACAGAAAGGTCTCAGAAAGGAAACGTACAAAAGTTTCTCAGGGAGGAGATGAGCCAGTTAGGGTGCAATGTAGCCATGATGAAACATACAACTCTCATACATAAAACTTTCAAACAAACTTTCAAACATACAATTTTCCTCTATTTCCTAAATGCTTCCTCCCCCCCAACTATCATGATCCCAATTCTATCTTACAAATATGGTTAGATCAGAGGATATGTACTCATACAGATAGGAGCTGGAAACACAGGGAATCCAGGGCAGATTCAGGACCAGTGGTGTGAGTGGTGATACTGGAAGGGTGGAGGGAGGGTGGGTTGGAAAGGGGGAACCAATTACAAGAATCTACATGTGACCTCCTCCCTGGGGGATGGACAACAGAAAAGTGGGTGAAGGGAGACGTCGGACAGGGCAAGATACGACCAAAAAAAAAAAAAGATATGACAAAATAATAATTTATAAATTATCAAGCGTTTATGAGGGTGGAGGAGCGGGGATGGAGGGGAAAAATGAGGAGCTGATGCCAGAGCCTTAGGTGGAGAGCAAATGTTTTGAGAATGATGAGGGTAATGAATGTACAAAGGTGCTTTACACAATCCATATGATGTACATCATATGGATTGTGATAAGAACTGCATGAGGCCCTAATAAAACGATTAAAAATATAAGAGCAAACAAACAAACAAAAAAAATCATTTCCTCATGGTGCCACCAAATGCCAAGATCTATCTATACATGACCCAGTCAGGATGGACCTCTTATAGCTACATCTAGTGGACAAGGACCACCACTGACTCCAGAATTTCTTGATCAACAAATACACATAAATTTAACAATAAAATAAAAAGAAACCCAGCGTCACAGAGACAACAGATAATTAGAGCTCATATGAAGAAATGAAAGAACAAGTTGCAAACAAAATCCAATTTGTGAAGCCAAATGATCTTTCTGAGGAAGGTAGGCATTGGAACTACCTGAAAATAAACACAGATAATCCAGGTTGGGAGACATAAAGACCTTTCCAGATATGGATAAATTAAGGGGATTTTTTTAAACCATGACTAAATTTACAAAATATACTAAAGGCAGGTATTTGGACAGTGAATCAATATGAATGGCAACACCACCGAGAAGTCAACCCAATTATTGTTGTCATCAAAGTAAAACAGACTTTTAAGACTGAAAATAGGTAGCCATGGTGAAGCTAATAATGAAGCAAATGGAGGGAATAATATAGATACAAACATTTGAACAGAGAGAAAGTCAAGTAGATTTCAAAAGAGATTGTACTATTTTAAACTTGGGAAGAAAATTACACATACTAAGATAATCCCAAGGAAAATGCATAAACATTTTGAAAATATAAACGAGAAAAATCACAAAGACTTAGTTAAACAGTAAAATAGCAGAAAAGAAAACAAAAAGTCAAACAAACAAAGGACTGAGTGGGGAGATGAAAGAAAAATAAATCAAATTAATAGAAATTGTATAGTATCTGCTAAAGAACTACTGGATAATTGGTAACATAAGGAATGAAATGTAAAATTACCTTCAATCAAATGACAATAAAAATACAACATACCTAAAAATTTTTAACACTGCAAAAGCAGAACTCAGAGGGCAATGTATAGCAATAAATCTATACTTCCAAAAAGTGTTAGAAAGAGCCAAAATCAGCACCTTAGTCAATCATTCTCAAGAGCTAGAACAAGGGCAAGAAAATAAACTTTCAGCCACTAGGATAAAAGAAATAATAAAGATTAAAGTAGAAATAAATGAATAAGAAAACAGGAAATAGAAAGAATCAACAAGGCAAGAAGTTGGGTCCTTGAAAGGATTAGGAAAATTGATAAACCACTAGCAAACCCCAAATGGAAAAAACACAGAGAAAATGCAAATACCAAGAATAAGAAATGAAGTGGGCAACATCACAACAGGACCAACTGAATAAAGAACCTAATAGAGTATTATGCAGGAATGCACTCCAACTAATTGGGAAGTTGGAATAAATGGACATGGTTAAAGGAGAAGGGAAACAAATGCATGCATACACCTAATTAATTAATTAATTAATTAATTGAAACTTGGATATAAAAATCACTCTAGATATAAAAACGAAGAGAAATCAGTATATTAAATTCTGTACAGAGTTTTAGGCGAATGAGGAATAAAAATTAAGAAATAGCTTTGAGAAATCCCCTGCACTATGCTGGGAAGTCCCTGACTACAGCGTATCGAGTAAAATACAGTCACTGGGAGAATGAAAGATTTTAAGAAAAGCAGAGGCAAAGAGATAGTAAAAGAACAAAACTTTTTTCAAAATAAGAAATTTGCAGATAATAAGTAGAACTTTCCAGTGGAGAGAGTGGTGATATCAGGAGAGTGGAGGGAAGGTGAGGGAGAAAGGGGGAACAGATGACAAGGTCTACATATGGCCTCCTCCCTGGGGGACGGACAGCAGAGAAGTGGGTGAGGGAGACATTGGATGGGGTAAGATATGATAAAATAATAATAATTTATAAATTATCAAAGGTTCAGGGGGAGGGGGGAGCAGAGAGGGAGGGGGGAAAATGAGCTGACACCAAGGGCTCAAGTGAAAAGCGGGTGTCGTGAGAATGATGAAGTCAACATATGTACTAATGTGCTGGACACAAATGATGTATGTGCGGATTGTGATGAGTTGTATGAGCCCCTAATAAAATGATTATTTAATAAAAAATAAATAAAAAGTAGTTTTAGCAATCATAGGTTGGCCTAGTAGAGAGGAAACTGATGCCAAAAGCTAGCAAGAGTCAGAGTTGAAAGGGAAATCAGACATCTTTGCTACCACATCAAGTGGCTGGACTGAAGACAGAAAAACTGGACAGTAAAAAGTGCCTGGGTTCAAGAGGCCATAAGAAAAGTCCTCATTCTTAAAGAAAATAGCAGAATGCCTTCAGAGTCCATCTGGAGTTAGAAGAGGGATGGGTCATTGTATGGTGGTGGGGAACCTATTACCGGGAACATGTTCAGTCCCTCACCAAATCACCTTCTCCTTGCCCACCCACTCCCAAATAGCATCACATGAGATCCAAGCATTCCTTTTAATGCATAACAGGCTTGGGCAATGAGAGGGGTTGTCCGATTGTATGTAAGATCTGAGTAGGAGAAATTCCCAAAATAAGGTACTTCCTATCCCTTACCCTCCCCCTTTTTTTTCTTGCTCGCCCCATCAGTAATTATTCTCCATGAACATCAGCAGGAGGGACCTAACTAAGCCTGTAGCAGTCCCCAAGAGCCTCTCAATAGCAGCGTAGATGTCTCCGCCTGTGGCTATCAGGGCCTGCAGGTTGGCATTGCCGTTAGTAAAACCCATGGCCTTCAGCTGCTCCAGTTCTTGCTGGTAGTGGCCTTCAGTGAGGGAGCTTGAGGGTGAGGACTGGGTACACGGGGAGCAGGCATTGGCTAGTGTGTGGAGAACATGAAGAACAGACACGGCAGGCTGTCCAGCTTTATGACCCTGTCCTTCGCCCTTAGGTTCAGTTGTGCCTCCAGTGCCACGTCGTCTGCTTGGGTTCCATAAACAAGGTGCCAATTCAGGCACCTCTCTAGAGAGCATCTGGAGGCCCTGTTCTATTAGTAGCAATGCCTGCAGTGCTCGTGGGTTGGTGAGGATGGGAAGCAGTGGTATATGATGTTGCAGAGGGCTGTCCGTCGCCAGTTGATGGAGCAGAGATGGGTTCTGCTGTAGGACATGCAAGGCTCTACGCAAGGCGGAGGGGGAGGGTCTGAACTGACCAGTTAGAGTGGGTTTTCCTGTGGGCTGATGGCTCTCCTGGGAAGGAAAATCCTGACCTGAGTGTAAGTCCAACACGTTGGTTCTGTACCCTGGATTGGCTGTGTCTGAGATCACGTCCTTGGCCTGAGCAACTATTCCTATACCCTCCTCATGAGTCAGTGGCCTGGAAGGTGCAGAGGTGGTGCAGGTGACTGGAGTGATGTCACTACTGCTCTGAGCCTCACCTCTCCAGGGCTCAGTATCTTGGCTGTGGCCTTTGGAAGCAACCAGAGGAGCCAGAAGGGAGAGCAGGAGGTGCGGGGTGTCAGAGCAGACCGGTCGGGTAGCCTTGTCCCTGTCTGGTACTGTCCTTGAGGCCTCCAGTCCCGGTTTTTCTGCCTGCAGGGTTTCTGGCCGTTGTATCAGGCCTTGAAGCATTTCTAGAGCCTTGGGAGCTGACTCGGGTTTCTGTACTGGCCTGGAGGTTTCAGGACCATGGCTGACATTTGGTGGTTTCTCAATATCCAAACCTTGAAGCAGAGGACCTTCCAAGGACTGCGCTCCAGATTCAGTTGAAGCTTTCAAGAGTTGAGTCAGCTGGCCAAGGAAAACAGCCAGCTCTGGCGAGCTCCGGGCCATCTGGCCCAGTCTGCCTGACATCCTCGTCTTTCCAGAGGCTGATGGTCCAGAGTGATTGGTGCAGTGGCCTGGAAGACCTGGCAGAGTTCTGAGACCAGTTGGCCCTTTCGCATGCGTCCTCACAACTAAATGGACAGTACTGCCATCGAGGATGCCACGTTGACTCAGTATGTCATGATCTCGAAGGATCTTTCCAGTGAAAATGAGCACCAGTCGTTCTGTGTTACAGTGAAAGCGTTTTGAGATTTGCTTCTTGAAGTAGCAAACACTGCTATTCTCTGCCACTATAAATTCCTGACAGTCCTGTGGAGTCTTGACAGATACTCTGATGATGCGCGATGCTGGTTCCCGGCCAGATACTAGCTGGTTATCCCCTGCTTCTTCCCTAGTCTGTGCCATACTTCTTTGAGAATAGGATGTACGACCACCTTAAGGCAGGATGTACAGGAGCCTAGATGTAACACTGAGCAAACCTAGGTATATGGACCAATAAGCATCCAATGATGTCCTCTCACTCACCTGCTACGGACTCCACCTCCCAGTGTAGCCCTGCAACCCACCTAGTTCCCATAGGGGTGACAACTACCCTTCTTCTGGGTCTGCCTCAGGGCTATGATGTCAGTGATGAGATCACAATGGAGAGGTACACTTGGATGGGGGATGGGCCATCTGCCTGATAATGGGACACTCTTTACAATATGATTTAAATAGCAATAGAAACCTTATAATGGCTCTATCAAGAAACATGATTGACACTACTTTTTAAACACTGCATCATGAACGAATAAATATGGCTGAGTAGAAAATGTACTGGTCTGAGAGCTAGCTTGGAAAGCATTGCTAAAGTCTTACACCCAGACGGCATTTCTGAGGCCTTCTAAGGTCAGTCATCCCTCACCATGTTTCTAAGACAGACAGCAGGAGTTCCTCAGAGACCATTAAACAATATTGCTCAGAGAAATCAACTATGAACTCAGTGTTCAGAGCATCATAGGTGAGACCAAAGAAATCATCAGAAAGTCACAGTTTGGTTCTAGCGTTTATGACTTAACATTTATTAGATTAAATTATTCAAATACTTGTCACTTGGGAGGGGACACAATTCTGTTGTAAACACAGACCATGATTAGGCTCTGGGTCATTCCTTTGACCACTACAAGCATTGGGACCTCAGGGTAAATGCTGTTTAATCCCTGAAGCAAAATTTAAAGTTATAAAGATGGGTTACATATACTTCACCTCTCTTAATGTGTAGAACTTTCAAGGACTACGTAATTAGGAGTTGGCTGCCTAAAGTGTAGATATTTTGCTAGACTTTGAGAACATGAGCATCCAGATACCCAGGAAGATATGTTGTGCTCTGTATAGGTTCTTTAATTTTAAGTAGCTTGGATCTATATACGCTGAGTTCGAACCAATATCAAGACACTGATCAGTTGTAATTCATGTATTTGAAAAACCTTCCCAGACTTATAGCATAAGTCACATGTCTGGAAGCCAGTCAGGCTGGGGGCTTCTCTTGGTAAGACATAAATACAATTTCTACCATACAAATATTACTGGCAAAAATAATTTCCTTTAAGGATTTCGCATTCAACAGATTTCTCTGGTATGTGTGTATGTGTGTGTGTTGGACAGTTTACTATACAAATTAAGTGGATCTGGAAAATAAGGGGTTAGATCAGTTTTGCCACCCTGCTAGGCTCAAAAGTATCAATTCCACAGAGGTTAGGGGAACTTCACAATCATAAAGAAGAAAAATCTTAAGAGGAGTGCATTCTTTGAACCCTGGGTGCCTGAGCTAAGAATCTCCTATACCCTTGAGACAGAGAGAGCTTACCCCAGGCAGTGGTGTATGATGGCAGCAGATGAGATCATCACAATGTGAGACTGGCAGACAGCTGCAGAGTGCTTACGGACCCACCTGCAAGAGCTGAGTATCTTCAGGTGAGAGCCTTGCTGGTGGAGCAGGGTGCTTCTGAGAATGAGACAAGGGAGCCAACTGAACTGCATGAGCGAGTAGTGTTCAGTAACAGAGGTCAAGTAGAGCCAGCAGCAGAGGCCTGAGCAGAGCGCAGTCTATGCAAACAGTTGGGAACCATGACTTGCATGTCAACATGGTTGAGAAGGAGCAAGAGCTGTCTTGGTTGGAAACTGTCCTGCCTGACAAACTGTCTCCTGTCTCCTGAGTGGCTTTTGCTGCTTCCAAGTTGATTCCAGGCCCCAAGTTATAGCCTATTACTTGCCTAATAAAACACAAAATCTTAAGTGTGATGTGAGTTTTGTGTGGCCAACACAATGAATTACCAAATCCTGCAGAGACGTAGCATTCCATGGAGAATGACTGTTGTTAGAATTGGTTAAAAAACAAAAACAGCGTATCTGATTTATATCACAAAGGAATTAGCTTTGGCTGGTGGTGGTTCTCATGCCTTGGCAATAGGGAGCCACCTGATGCCACCATATTAAGGATTACTTTTGAATCACCCCTATGGGAATTATTTAAATTAATGTTCGTAGCAGGGAACAATTGTCCAGAATAAGCTTTGCATATCTCATTTTTTTCTTGCATCGTGTTAGAAATAAACCCTCTCTTTTTCTCTTCCTGTACCAGCCTTATTGTCAAGGGCTAGATGAGTCTTTCCCAACGACAGCTGTTCTCAGTCCATTTACTAAAGGCAGGAGCCCTTCCCACACAGACATCAGAGTTCTCTAGCACATGGACCCCACCTTATTCTTCCTCAAGGGCTGGTGTCTTTTGTTAATTTTTCACCTTATATGTATATATTGATTTTATAACTGTAAAGTTAAAAAAAATCAATTTACAAAGAAAAAAAACCTAATTAGAAAAACAAAAAGGTTGGATTCTAGAATTAAATAACCTTGGGTTGAATTTTCATTTCTACCACTTCAGAAGTCCAAGATGTTATTTACCCCTGGTAAGCCTAACTTTCATTTCCTTATAAAAAAATTTAAAAAAAGGTTTTTCATTGATTTGCTTTGAAGACTCAAGAAAGTCTTGCAAGTCAAGTGTAACTCAAGTTGCAGTCACATGCTAAATATTGAGTATTATTTCTATCATAAAATATGGATGTTTAACAGTATTGACAATCTTGGACTTGCCATTTGGTACGACCATCAATGGATTAGGATGAGATCTGTCTGTCATTATAAATAAATATAAGTAGTGTCACCCTCAAAACTCTAAGAAAAATGTAAGCATGTATTTGAACAGAAAGATATTAGGGAGAATGTCTTTTAAAAGCAAAGGAGAAGCAATAGAAGACCTTCTATTGATTGGATAATGCCTCCCTCTGAACCATCCGTACATCTCCCTAAGCTGTGTATGCTGCAAATCACCAGAGCATATCTTACCACTGCTACTGGATCTCAAGAAAAGATAGCTTCTTTAGAAGCAAGCAGGCACTAGATCAAGGCTCACCAAGCTGTGTCACTATATCTTCTATTTTCCATCTACACAACTCCTAGGACCCAGATGTTACATCAGGAGCCACCGCTATTCGAGTGAGAAGACCAGATTAGGAGCTGGTCTTCAGAGACCCACCCCTCCAATGATTTCAGCCTGCAGGGTGTCATCTCCCTATTAACTCCAACAGCCTTTCTGTCCTAGTCTCCCCAACCATTTGTTCTATTGGTGGCTCATTTACTCACGCATCAGTAAACATTCAATGATTTATTTAGGGGCTGTCATGTACCAGACCTTATGTCAGCTTCTAGGTGAAGGATAAGGGTTATGTATGTCCCAGGAATTTCTCTTTTTGAGACTCATCACCGTGTGCCTGTGCGCAAGGCTAATGCTTTCCATTTCTGCTGAGTCTAGAGACGGGATTCCAAACATCCAATCCATTACATTAACTATTTCCTCTTTATCAAGGACTGTTAGACTCAAATTTCTACCCGCTATGTCTCTTATTGAGCTGGCTTAACTGTATGTGAGGCTTCAGGCTTTCTTTTTCCAAGATTACCTATTAAAAGCAACAGCTTTTTCTCCCCATAAGGTTTTTCCTTGGGTTTACCTGTCATCCAAGAGTAGAGATGAGAGTCTATAGTCTATCTTCCCCCATCAGTGACAGCTCCCAGATCACTTTTCTTCAGTAGTGGCAAGAAGCCTAGTAGCCAGGGGGTCTTCTTCCTGTGCTCTAGCATCACCACAAACAATTGGGCTTTTCTTTTTTTTTTTTTGTTAACCATGTTCATTTTATTTTTTATTTATTTTATTTATTTATTTTTTATGGTTTCATTCTTTTTTTTAAACATTTTATTAGGGGCTTATACAACTGTTATCCCAATCCATACACACATCAATTGTGTAAAGTGCATTTGTACATTGTTTCTCAAAACATTTTCTCTCCATTTAAACCCCCGACATTAGGTCCTCATTTTTCCCCTCCCTCCCCGCTCCCCACTCCCGCATGAGCCCTTGATAGTTTATAAATGGGTATTTTGTCATATCTTGCCCTGTCCGACTTGTCCCTTCATCCACTTTTCGGTTGTCTGTCCCCCAGGGAGGAGGTCACACAGTTCCATGTAATCGGTTCCCTCTTTCCTACCCATTCTCCCTTTACCCTCCCTGTTTTGCCACTCACATCACTGGTCCTATAGGGCTCATCCATCCTGGATTCCCTGTATTTTAAGTTCCTATCTGTACCAGTGTACCTCCTCTGGTCTAGCCAGACTTGCAAGATCGAATTCGAGTCATGGTAGTGGGAGCGGGGAGGAAACATTTAGGAACTAGAGGAAAGTTGTATTTCTCATCATTGTTACATCGCACCCTGACTGGCTCATCTCCTCCCCGAGACCCCTCTGCAAGGGGATCTCCAGTGGCCTACTAATGGGCTTTGGATCTCCACTCCACACTCCCCCCATCATTCACTATGGTAAGATTTTTTGTTCTGATGATGCCTTACACCTGATCCCTTCGACACCTTGTGGTTGCATAGGCTGGTGTGCTTCTTCCATGTGAACAATTGGGCTTTTCATCTGGACAAGAAATCCCACTCATGAGTGGTGGGGCTCAGAGGTGGGGCGGAGGGGTAGGGGTGGGGTGTTCTAAGGACTTGTCCTCCACTTCGAGTTTGAAACCTAAAACCCTGGGGGAAATTGATCCCCCAAAGCATGTGCCATCCCTTCACCCACATGTTGAGTAACAGTAAAACACAAGTTGATCCAAGTAGCCAAGACAGATTTTGTTCTGTTCCTGAAAGGACCCACAACTCTGACATTTCAACACAAGTCATGGTACTTTTACCACATTGATATTTTCCATCAAGGGCCCTTTTCTTTCCTTAACAGGAATAAAGCATTAATCTTGGTTTACATTCCCATTCTATGATAACAATCTAATATAGATGACTATGTTTTAGATGTGTACTTCTGCATATATGCATGGGGTGTACACATGTGTATGTACTTGTTTGGTATTTGTGTGCCCATCTGACAATATATTTAAATATCAATATTATTGTTCTAGTGCATTTCTCAGAGTTATATGTTTATCAGTTAGTACATTTCTCTGGAGCAATGTGTTTATCACTATGAGAAGATTTATATACGTATCTTTGTTTCACATGCATAAATTGAATTTTAAGATTCTTAAACATATTATCCATTGAGGTACCAAGGTAAAATAGGTTCTTGAGAGAAAATAGCAATTTAGTCTGAGATGCTGAGGCCACTTCCCATACCATGCTCCTTCTCTCCTAACTCTGGTGTGCAGAGTGGCCCCTTTTCCAGAAATTGCTTCCCTCTTGACTTCATCAGATCGTTTACCTACATGCTTCTTTCTACTCTTCCCGTTTCATCTTAAAGGGAGATTTCCCTGATCCACCTTCTCTGCTACCCCAGTATATCAAACCCCGATTACTCTAGTGCACAGATCCTTGCCATAGTCTTTATAGCACTTAGTTTAGAGTTGTAGATAACATTTGACGAGTATGATTTTCTGTTGAAAATATTGAAAGTACTATGGACTGCTAAAAGGATACATCTGTCATGGAAGAAGTACAGCCAGAGTGCTCCTCAGAAGCAAGAATAGAGAGACTTCAACTCACAAGCTTTGGACATGTTGTCGGGAGAGACCAGTCCCTGGAAGAAGATGTAAGGCGTGGTAAAGTAGCAGGACAGCGAGAGAGGGGAAGGCTCTCATGAGATGGATCGATGTAGTGGAGGCAACAATGGGTCCAAGCATAGGGACAATGGTGAGGATGGCCCAGGCCTGGGCAGGATTTCATCCTGTTGTGCAGAGGGCTGCAAAGTGTCAGTACTGATTCTATGGCATCGTTTTTCCTGTTACCAGATCATGAGGATTTGTTTGTGAATTCTAATACCTCAATTTCCATAGAATGGATTAATAAATGAGCTAAATGTTGCAAGAAAGATAAAATCAAGGACATGCAGAGTCCAGGGCAGTGAAGCAAACCCCTCTGAATTAGCCACTAGGGCCAGTCCCTTTGTAAACACAGTGAGGTTAAGGGACTTGGACTCAAGCTGAATCCTTGCTGCTTCCTCTCTCCTCCCTGGGGGATTGGCAAGATAACTTTTCAATGAAGTTCACCTGTGGGACAGTCTGCAGGGATACTTGTCTGTCTGTCCTTTTTTAAAGGAAGTTGTTTTCACTCTGCAGTCAGAATGATGGGCGGGGATGCCAAAGAACAGAGTAGTTGGTGGCAGTGTCACATGGACACACAATCTGGGAAACTTTTAGAAACACCACAGGAAATCTGCAGGTTTAAGTCTTGGGAGGATTGCAGCAGAGACCCCAACATCCCTCCTTTGTTTTCCATACCTCTGAATCTTCTCTTTTCAAACCCTGTAATTCCCAGTCCGAGTGTTCTTTTGTACAGAGAGACAGCCCTGATTTACCCACCTCCTCTCCCAGCCCATCAAGAATGGAACTCACACAACAGTGGACAGTGGAGATTGGGTGTAATTGTATCTCAAGATAAGCACAAGCAGAGCTCAGATTGGGCCCCTATGTAGTGTGGTGGCAGAAGTGGCTGAGTCACACATAGCACGCTCCCCCTGGTTCTGGCTCTCATTCTTCCACATTGACTCTGGAACTACATTGTCTCTGCAGTAAAGGGCATCATAGTAAATTTGGTTCATAGAGCAGCTGCATTCAAGAATGGGGGAGCTGAGGGAGTGGGATATATAGGCTGAGGAGGCACAGAGGAAATGACGTAGTCTGAACAACAAGGGTTCCTACGACTTCCTCAGCCTCTCCACAGCAGCCTCCAAGTTCCCCCCCGTGGCGATGAGGGCCTGGAGATTGGCTTCAGAATTGAGGAAGCCCATGGCCCGCAGTTGCTCCAGCTGCCCCTGGAAGTGAGTCTCAAGCTGTATCGACTGGGGATTGGTATCAGCTAAGCCTTGTAGCATCTGGAGGAAGGAGGGAGTTGAGTGGCAGCCCAGCTCAGTAGAGCCCTGTCCTTGGGGAATGTCAGGGACTGGGGCTGAAAGTCTCTCTTCAGGCACAATGGTATGCTCTCTAGGCTCTCTACATCCTGCCACAGCCCTCAGCCCTGCTAGGCAAGGCATGAAGCAGAGCAGGAGACAGGGGGCTTCAGTTGCCAGGATCTGCAGACCTTGCTCAATCTGCAGGAGGGCGCTCATGACACGAGGGTTAGCCATGGCGGCCTGAAGGTGCAGCATCAGTGGTGGCTGCTGATGCATCTCATTCTGTACCTGAGGGCCCTGGTTCAGATCAGTTAGCCTCAAAGATCTTGGAGAAGTTGGTGACGGCAGCCAGGCTGGCTCAGGGACTCCAGAGGGAGCTGCCACAGAGGAAAGATGTGAAGGTACTAAGGGGACCCTTTTAGCAGAGTCCCCCAACCCTGAGACAAGATCAGGAATATTGGTATGGTGCCCAGTGGAGTCCTTCCCTGCTCTGTCTTGGTCTCCATTTTGCCCAGTGCTGCTCTCTGTGGGGTATCTCAGGAAAGTTGGGCAAGTATTTTCTTTGATGGCTACTGTCTCTTTGGAGAGAGACTGGCCTGACCCTGATTCCTGGGATGAAGATGAAGTTGGAGGGACTCGGTTTCCTTGTGGGCATGGTTCCTGACGTGGGCTCAGGGAGGCTGTTGGACCTTGCAAATATGTTCCAAGGGGCTGTAGGGTCTCGGGTAATTGCTGGAGGTAGTCATAAATCCCTGTGTTACTCAGAAAATGTAAGACCCCGTTTCTAACTTCAGACGCATCCTGTTCTCCAGGTTGTCTTCCTGTTCTGCTTTCTGAGCCTGCATGCGTGGGAGCCCAGGGATTGGGGAGAGGGTCACAATTCTCAGTCCTTGATGGTTGGCTGCTGATGGTAGTGTCAGAAGAGGAGGTAGTAACAAAGGGATTTCCCCCGAACTGCTCCTGGACTGCATTGAGCATCGGATCCATAATATCGGTGTACATGGTACGAAGTACATTATAGCCCCCAGGGATGCTCTCGAGGTTGCTGAGCGCCCGGTCCTGGCTGCGCATCATCTCCTGCATCATAGCGGGGTTGCGCAGGAACTCTAGCGTCTGCCGCATGATTTCGGGGTTGTTGAGAATATGCCCAATCTCAGGGTTGTGTTGGATCAACTGTTGCATGTGAGGGTTGTCGAGAACCAGCTGTCTTACCAGGCCTGTATTGGACAGCAGACCTTGGATAAAGGGGTCGTCGATGATCTGAGCTACAAAGTCAGGCATGGATACATGCTGCCACATCAGTGAATTTGGCTGGTCAGGAAAGCTCCCGGAAGTCAGGCCCAGTCCATTGAGGCCGGTGAGGACACCTAAGCTGAATGCCGGAGACCCATCTGATGGGAAAATGGAGGCCGGCTGGGGGAGCGATCCGGGGCTTCCGGCTGGGGAAGGGAGAGAAGCGGCTGGGCACTCGGTGCCCCTGGTACGCCGCTGCATCTTGATCACCAGGTGCACAGTGAGCCCATCCCGCACGCCACATTGTACCAGTGAGTCAGGGTCCTTGAGGATCTTGCCGGCAAAGATTAGAACCAGTTGATCGGGGTGGGCTTTAAAGCGCTGAGAGATCTCTTCCTTCAGCTGCTGGATGGTGCATGTGTCTGTGACTGAGAAGTCCTCTTTATCCTTGGGTGTCTTCACGGTCACCTTGATGAGGCGAGGGTCCTGGACTGGTGCTGGGTTGCCCTGTGGCAGAGCTTCTCCGCTTTTGGCCATGGTGGGCACCAGAAGAGCCAGGTCTGTAGGGACACAGCTGGGGGATGGGGATGAAACTAAGATCACCCTTTTGGGCAATGGCAAGAGTAGGGCAAGGAAGCAAGAGGGTTTGGGGTCCTAAGCTGGGGGAAGTTGGAGGGTTTGCATGCAAGGGGCTGGGAAGTGCTGAGGACAGGATGATCACGGGGGACTATGGGGTTGAGAGCTGCCTAGGTCAGAGAAGGGACACAGGGTGTCCTGGGGAAAACATGTGTGGTTCATGAGTGATGAGTCAAATACAAGGGACAAATTGGGGGAATACACACCAATCAGCTGTGACCCCGTCCTCCTTTTATGCAGGGCTCCAAACCACCCTCATCTTGCTGCCCAGCCACCCCTGAGACTTGTGAGCTGGAACCCACTCCATCAGGTCACCTCTGTGACGTAAGCATTGACATCACAGCCTCCTGCAGTAGATTCTTGATACTAACCTCTGGGTTTCTGGAAACTCCCTGTCCCCAACCGTTACCTTTCCTGCCTTTCCACCTCAGTAGTAGTCTTCAGAATGGGGCATAAGCCGAGGCCAATAGTCCTGCTTCCACACAATTTAGTATGTGGAGACACAGACTAAACCAAATATTCAAAAGCCGCCTCCAATCCATTTCTCCCTTCAGACCCCAATTCAGATCATTCCCCAGTCATGGCAACCTATGTCTCTGTCTTCTCTCTGATTCAAAGTATCAAATTGATTTAATAGATAGAATTTAGGGTACGAGAGGAATTGCTGATGATAAAAGGGTTTCTTGCACATCATCATCATCATACTCTAAAGTAGCAGCTTTCGACCTGTGGGTCTCCACCCCTTTGGGGATCAAACAACCCTTTCGCAGGGGTTGCCCAATTCAAAACAGTAGCAAAATTACGGTTATGAAGTAGCAATGAAAATAAATGTATGTTTGGGGAGGGGTCACCACAATATGAGAAACTTTATTAAAGGGTCGTGGCATTAGGAAGCTTGAGAGCCACTACCCTAAAGGAACACAAGTGATTGTTTATTGAGAAAAAAATGAAAATTTAAAAACACAAAATAGTAGGCTTTTAAGCCACGCATTAAGAGTATTGAGTTGCCTGATTGTAGCAGTGATAAAAGAAGACTGTTACAATGATTAAAAAACACCCCCTGCGTAATACGTGGGTTCCCTCTACCCTAACAAGTAGTTTTTTTCACTTACCAATCTGAACAAGGAGGGTTTGAAAAGACAAGAGTCTTTACGGGTAAAGGAGCAGTAGTAGAATAGTGGGGTGGGAGTTGAGCTGCTCACTTCGAGGTCAGCTGTTCCAAACCCACAAGCCACTCTGAGACAGATGAGGCTTTCTACTCCCTAAAGATTCATCTCGTAAACGCACAAGAGTAGTTCTATTCGGTCTTATAATCAGAATTGTTATCACTGAGTATTGACTTAATGGCAGTGAGCTATTTTTGTTTATTTATACAATATTTTCCCCCATTTGTATGTTAAGGCTACCTTTTTCTCTAAGTGTGTCTTTTTTTTCTTTTGTTTTTGAATCTATGTATATACATGGCTCCGTGTAATTATCTTTTTTTGGCTTTATAGGTGTTCATGTGTGTTCATTGTTGTCTGGTGAGCTTACGCATTTTGCATAGCTCTCTTGGGTTATGCAGGTAAGCATTGCTTTATATATGTATATATGGTTCTTTGTGTAACTATGATTCCTTTTCTTTATTAATATGCCTATGGGTGTATGTATGTGTGTGTGTTCATTTATGTATAGTAGATAATACAAGGGCATCGCAATGCTAGTTCCTTGATGATAAATTAAAAAAACAAAACAAAACCAAACTCAGATGGGAGAGGTAGGCATAGCCATTTTATTGACAAATCTTCTAGCCTTGGTCAATGATTTGTTATTCCGCAGGGAAAGCATGGCTTGGTTTCTCCTGTCCAGGAGTGCTCCCAGCTAGAGGCACCAAGAGAAGTCACATGAAGCTATCAAAGGTACTAGCAGGCAGCTAACAAACAAGGAGGTAGGCATGGTGGTTAGAATCCCTGGGATCTCTTGAGTTTTCGGATAGCAGCATTGGTATCTCCCTCGGTGGCAATGAGTGCCTGAAGATTGGCATGATGGTTTCCAAAGCCCATGGCCCGGAGATATTTCATCTGCTTGCTTAAGCGAATTTCAGGGGCTTGTAGAAAGTGAGAGTTGTCTTTGGCTAGGGATTTTAAATTCTGCGTGACTGCTTCAGATTTGTGGCAACTCTCAGGTTCCTTTGGCTCAGGCACGTTGTGTACATCCCAGGACCAGGAAGCCATATCAATATCAGGGTAGCTACAGCTGGGGGCAGGAAACCAACCGAGACCCCATAGGTAGGGTGCCACACAGGGCAGAAGATCAGGAGCCTCTGTGGCCAGCAGGTGGAGACCCTGCTCAATCTGCAGTATTGCCTGGGATGCCTTAGGGTTGGCTAGAGAAACCAGCAAGTCAGAAAGCTGTGTCTGCAACATTTGCTGCTTCCATTGTTCACTCAGCTGGGGTAAACTCAGAAGCATCATCATTTGGGCTGCCAGGGAGGAGTTGTTCATAAGCAGCTGCATCATGGTGCCTGTAATCTGGGAACTCGTCTGTTCATCCCACAGCAGCCATTCATCTTCCAATCTCTGGTCAAAGTCTCTCGGAGAAATATCATCCTTGCCTTCCTCTTGGGGCGGCTGAGTAGGCTGTATGCTGAGGAGGGCTGGGACCCCAGCTGGCTGCTGAAGAGCACACTTATAACTTTGGTCCTTGGCCGAGCCGGTAGAGGCACTCACCCTGGCAGTGTGGCTCATCCTGTTGAGGGTGGCATTGGCTGAGGATAAACCGCACGAACCCGTATAAATAACTCGGGTTGTCGGGAGCTGTGGGAGTTGGTCCCGCTGTTCCTGAGCTGGTGGTGGAACTGAGCGTGAGCACTGGACTTGTTCTGGCACCTGGCCTGACAGGAGATTTGTTACACAATTACCCCCAGAGGACTCATGCACGTGGTTGGGTGTCTGATCACTGAAATCAGCATAGATCTGACCCAGGGTATCCTCCCCACCTGGAATTGTCTCTCCGCCTAGATACGGCTGCGGGTTCTGTGGCGGTTCAAGGTTCTGTGCAGATGGTTGTGTCTGCATTATCTCTTGGATGATGGTCAGGTTCCTGGCCAGCTCCAGAGTCTGCCACAGGATCTCAGAATTGTCAAGGATTTGAAAGACCTCTGGATTCTGCTGCACTAGCTGTTGCATCTCTGCATGCTCGTCAATGAACTGCCGCATGAGGTTCATGTTGAGCATCAACTGCTGGAAGCTAGAGTTATTTAGCATCTGGGCCATGTGCTCAGAAGTGCCTGTTTCCAGGTTCTGGTTTTGTTCCGTGGACACCTCAGGCTTCATCAAGAGGGGTGAGTCCACTGGGATTTCGTTCACACTGCCAGGCTGATGTACCCCACTGCTGTTTTCATCGATGCTCTCATCCCTGCTGCAGGCCTTGCTGGTTGACATGTCCGTGGAACAATGCGCAAGCGGTGGAGAGCCATGCTTAGATTTGATAACCAGGTAGATGGTGTGGCCATCCAGGATACCTCTCTGGGTGAGCGTGTCATGGTCTCTGAGAAGGCGACCCATAAAGACCAGCACTATTTGGTCTGTTTGGCAGTTGAAATGAGCTGATAGCTTCTCCTTGAACTGCCTTACAGAGGTGTCGTCTGCTACTATAAAGTCTTGCTCCTTGCCTGGGGTCTTCACTATTACTCGGGTGGAAGTTGAAGAGGCATCCTGGTCTGCAGGTAGATTTTTAGGACTCCCACTCTGGGCCATCCTGGGTGTTCGGGCAGTGACATGCGGCATGGAGCTGAGCAGGTGGGCAGATGGGGAACAGAGAGATGCGGAGGGGTGAGGGCGGACAAAGGTTTCTTCTGGTCTTTGTCTCATGAATTGGTACTTCGTCTCAAGTCACTGGTTACTTTTCTTGTTGCTTGTAAATGAATTACTCACTGGTCTGGAACCAGATATTGTGCTATGTTGTACCCTCACCCCAGCTCTCCAGATGTGGCCTGGCTGAGATTGGTCTTGGCTACTGATTCATGCTTGCTGCAGGGTGAGCTAAATGATGGTGAATTTTCCCGGGGCTACCTCTTCACCTGCCCCACCCTTCAAGCACATGGACTTGCCAGAAAAGAGGTATTATGATGTCAATTTTGGCCTCACTGTCCTTGCCAAAGTAAGACAGCCCAGGGAAGGAGGATGTTTGTAGAATCTAAAGTTTCCTAATGAAATAAAAGAAGAGAGCTTTTCAGAGAATTGGAGACAAAGTTCTCAGGCTGGGACTAGTGAAAAAACATAAAAGACTAGGCTGCCCATGGGACATAGTTTTATGTGGTGTTTTGTGGGTTCCCTAGAGGGATGTCAGGCTTGTGGTGAGACAATCTGAGTCCATTAAAGCCATAAATAATACCATATATCTAGAGGGAAGAATGTATTAATAAATAAAACCATGTGCATGTGGGTAAACATGGGGTCTATCCTATCAGGCCGGAATATGAATTTTGTTAATAATCTATGGGTCCATAGAAAAGGAACAAAGATATTAAGAGCAAACGTGGACATGTGGTTCTCTAGGGTCTAGATTGAGATATAAATTTAATGGGGACTGTTTTCACACAGTGGGGGAAATGTGTCCTCTGCCCTAGAAAATAGAAATAGGCCAACCAGGAAGCCTCTTCTAGACGCAGTCCAAATTAATGGTGAGACATTCCTTGCAATATATATACATATATATATTCTCCAGTTCATACATGCATAGGTTTATTCCAAATAAAATATATTTAAGCATGTCTCTGGGATAAGTGGATGGCTACAGATAAGTTATCTCTGTAAACACACATACATTTAGTTTAGTCTTATTCAACAGGGTAAACCAAACCAGACACACAAAAACCAAACTTATAGCTGCTTCCAATCCATAGTGACCCTAAAGGACGGAGAAGATTTGTCCTTGTGGATTTCTGAGACTGCAAATCTTTACAGGAGTAGAAGCCTCATCTTTCTCCTTCAGAGTGGCTGTTGGTTCCAAGCTGCTAGCCTTACAATTAGACGTTCAATGCACAACTCACTGCACCACCAGAGCCCCACTAGTGAGGGTGCTAAAAAAAACAAGGTCAAAGTTCAATTGAACAATGGCTTCCTAAGGGACCTTCTGGACCAGCTTCATTCAAAACAAAGCGATTAATCAGCTCCTAAGGTCATCAGTACTGTTTGGGGAGGAGAATTCCAAAGGGACAGTCTTTTTTTTTTTAATTGAGTACTTTTATTGGGGGCTCTTACATCTCTTATCGCAATCCATCCATTTATCCATTGTCTCAAGCACATTTGTACATATGTTGCCATCATCATTTTCAAAGCATTTTCTTTCTACTTGAGCCCTTGATATCAGCTCCTCATTTTCCCCCTCCCTCTCCCACCTGCCCTCCCTCATGAACCCTTGGTAAGTTATAGATTATTAGTTTCACATCTTACATTGTCCTCTGTTACCTTTTATGCACCTTTCTGTTGTTCGTCTCCCTGGAAGGGGGTTATATGTTAATCCTTGTGATAGATTTCCCCTTTCGCCCCCCACCTTCCTCTTATCCTTCCTGGTATCTCTATTCTCACTGTTGGCCCAGAGGGGTTTATCTATCCTGGATTCCCTGCGTTGTGGGCTCTTATCTGTAGCAGTGTGCATGTTCTAGTCTAATCTGATTTGTAGGGAAAAATTGAGGTCATGATAGTGGTGGAAAGGAAGAATTAAAGAACTAGAGAAAAGTTGTGTGTTTCATTGGTGCTATACTGCACTCTGACTGGCTCATGTCTTCCTTGTGACCCTTCTATGGGAGAATGTCCAGTTGTCTAAAAATGGGCTTTGGGTCTCCATTCCATGCCCCCCCCCCATCTCATTCATATTGGGTATGATTTTGTTCTGGGTCTTATATGCCTGATACCTGATCCTGTGGACATCTCATGATCACACAGGCTGGTGTGCTTCTTCCATGTGGGCTTTGTTGCTTCTCAGATAGATGGTCACTTGTGTACCTTCAAGCATTTAAGAAAGACCCCAGACACTATATCTTTTGATAGCTAGGCACCATCAGCTTTCTTCACCACATTTGCTTATGCACCCATTTTGTCTTTAGCACTCGTGTGGGGAAGGTGAGCATCACAGAGTACCAGATTATTAGAACAAAGTGTTCTTGTGTTGAGGGAATACTTGAGTAGAGAGGCCCAATGTCCATCTGCAACCTTAATTCTTAACATATAGATATAAGTACATAGATCTATTCCACTGTAGTGATATATAAATACATTTACATATAGACCTCTATAAATGTCCTTTGCCTTCTGGTTCTTTCCTCTATTTCCTTTAACTTTCCTCTGGTCCGACCACCATGTTCAGCCTTCATTTGGGTTTAGTAATTCTTTGCTGCTACATTGCCCTTGCTTAAGCCCCACTAGGCATCCTACACCCTTCTCTTCATTGATTTTAGTTCTCTTTTTGTTCCCTTGTTCCTGGATTGGTTTCTCCACCCCCTTCCTTTATCTGACCTCCCCTTCTCCCATATCCCCCTGGAACCATCGGTCCTGTTCTTTTTGTCTCCTAATTGTTTATCCAGCCTATCTTATCTAGAAAGACATGCAGAGACATTAATAAGTACAAAAACCAGGCAAAGCCAAACAAACCAACAGAGGAAGTCAAAACCAATAAAACAACAGCAAAAAACAAAAACAAAATAACAACAAATAGAAAGCCACTGACAAAAATGGAAAAGCCTATAAATAGTTCAAAGTCTGTTTGTTGACCTTCATGAGTGTTTTCCATTCAAGTCTCATGGGGCGCCACACTCTGCCTCCAAAGTCTATTTTTTGGTATTCCCTGGGAATTTCCTCACTTTGCTCCCCTTGCTGCTCTGTTGCATACTCTTAGTGTTTCATCCCAGTGTGATAAGGTCAGATTGGGCACAATTCCTGCACTGTGTCTCCAGTGTTGTCACCCATAGTGCTCTGGTTCAGTGAGGAATGTCGTGGCGGCCTTATGGTCCTCTCTGTGCATTGTCTGCTCTGAGCAGGAATATCATCCTCGGGGCTTGGTGAGCCAGTATGTGTTCCCCTCCCTCTCCATCCCTCTTTGCTTTTCCTGTGTGCTCTAA